CTTCTTTTCAGAAGCAAAGTTTTCCTTCCTTTCCCAAAATATACAAGTATGCATTTCCCATATGACAAATGCATACTTGTATATTTAAAAAAAATCACTGTACCAAAACAGTACAAAAGAAGAAATCATCCTTCTTGATATATAGACTATTTTATTTCATTTACACTATACCTTTTTTTCTCAAGCAGATCAAGGCAGTGGTCTCCCATTCAATATTAATTGGATTGGCAATCTTAGTTTTTTTAAGATCAGCGAAGTCTCTCTAGATCAGTGTTTCTCAACCTGGCAATTTTTAAGACATATGGACTTAAACTCCCAGAATTCCCCAGTCAGTCTGCCAACCTATAGCATTGGCTAGGGATTCTGGGAACTGAAGGGCATACTTCTTAATGTTGCCAAGGTTGGGAACATTGGGCTAGGTCAGGGGTCTGCAGCCCATGGCTCTGGAGCCACATGTGGCTCTTTCATCCCTCTGCTGTGGCTCCCTGTCACTCAAAATATGTGTCACAACCGCCCATGTACGACACCCGCTGTCATGTGATTTATTGAGCTTTTCAACCCATCCTTTTTTTTCGGAGTTCAAAATATTTTTGTTGCATGCAGAAATAAAAAATTGTTTTCTCTGTAGCAATTCATTGATTTCATAAATGCAACACACTATCGTTTTTTTATATATAGCATAAAGGTAAATATATATATATATGCAACGTTATCTTCATTTTAGATGTCAACAGGGTTTTGTGGCTCCGGGTGTTTTCTTTTCTGTGGGAAACGGGTCCAAATGGCTCTTTGAGTGTTTAAGGTTGCCGACACCCCTGGGCTAGATAATGGCACCTAGCCTGCTTATGATTTCTATATCCTAAATTCACTGAGCAGGGAAATCTAATAGGAGTTTGCCATGGAGTTCATTTAGGAGGAACAAAAGACAATGCCCAGAGAAACTGTACGTTCTGAAAGATGATATACCGAGGGATAAAAAGATAATCTCTTAAATATGGCTGATTGCAAAGGGTCATAATTGCTGTCAATCGCCCAGTTTAGGTGATTGAGCAACTGCCTACTTCTCAGTAGCAGTGATTTAAAAATTTAAGGCAGCAGTGGTTGGGTGAATGAATTCACTCACAGGAGAGCTAACAATTGATTAGAAGAGCTTGAGCCAAGAGTTTTAGTGTGAATCCCTAACAAATTTCCATTCTAAATCAAGAGCTTGCACTTGACTAATCTCAGAGGCTGAGAAAAGACCAAAGTGTACAAGTCCTAAGAAACCGTTGTGATATGGAATGGACAGAAACCTGCACAATACTTGTGTGATGTTTGTCATCAAGCATCCTGATATATACAGTATTTGTAGCACATTGGCACATGTGAGCTTTTAACAAGATTTTTTAAAAAATCAAAGGATTAGATCAGTGCTGAAATCTAAAATTTGTTACTACCAGTTTTTTTTTTACTTTTAAAAGCATTTTTTCTACAACCTCTTCGGCGAAGAAGTTGTAAAAAAATGCTTTCAAAAGGCTCTGACGATCCCAGCTGAGTTGCCTGATCAGCAGAAGCTTTTTTAAAAAGCCTCTGCTGATCAGGCAACTCAGCTGGGATTGTCAGAGGCATTTAAAAGAAAAAAGGGGTTTTTTTCTTTTAAAAGCCTTTGACGATCCCAGCTGAGTCACGCGATCATCAGAGGCGCTTTTTTTTTACTTTTAAAAGCATTTTTTTGGCCGAAGAGGTTGTAGAAAAAATGCTTTTAAAAGTAAAAAAAAAAAGCCTCTGGTGATTGTGCGGCTCAGCTGGGCATGGGGGAGGGGGCAGGGATTTTTGTTACCGGTTCTCCGAACAACTTGCCTCCATCGCTACCAGATTGAGCGATCCGGTCCGAACTGGGAACATTTCACCCCTGGATTAGATCAATGAATGACCATACTTCAACTGATGAGAAGAGATGAAGATTGATTTGTTCCATGAGAAGAGAGTCTACAGCAGAAACTGGCAGTGATAGCTATTCTTAATGAGTAAAACAGAAAAGCAAGTCAAATGGAGAGTAACAACCAAAAGCAAGAGAAGGTATTCTGCCCCTCTAGAACTCAGTATTTAGACTCTTTTCAAATGAAACAGGCTTTGGAAACAGAGTGTTTTCCAAAGTGTTTTCCAAATTAAGTATTTAAAAATCTAAAAGAAATAGCTTAATATAAAATGTCCCCACAGTTAAAACCGAGTACAAGGATTAGCATTTCTGAATAAAATATTAGGTAGGCAAGGATAAATACTTCTAACTATAATTGTTTTTTCCATATTAATAAAAAAAACCCTTAAAGACTGACATTAAAGAGACTTATGAACATAGATACGACAGGGTGAAATAGCATGGCAATAATACTATATACACATGGGGAAAGGGGAGGGAGGGGGAGGGAGGGAGGGAGAGTGGGGGGGAGAGAGAGAGAGTTAGTTCTGGCAATAGGCAATTGGCTATATTTTAGTGAATGGGGATTCTTGCGCTTAATTTCTATGGCACCCCTAACATTTTGTATGGAACACAGTTTATAAAACCCTGCTCTTAAGCAGAGATTGTCCCAAACATATTTGAAAATATGTAACTATGGAGAGATCAATGTTATTGCTGCCTTATATCAAGTCCAGTCATTGTTCTATCAAAGTAGTCTCTGCCATGCCTGGAATTTCAGATGTTCGAATTTGGATTTTTTTAATAGATGAAACATGAGTCCTGCTATTACCTAGCACAGGGGTCTGCAACCTTAAACCCTCAAAGAGCCATTTGAACCCGTTTCCCACAGAAAACAAAACACCGGGAGCCACAAAACCCTTCCCGTGCCTGATTATTTCTTGAGCGGCCACAAAACTAGCATATGTAGTTGAATTAAACGTTCTGTTTTCTTCTGAAACTTTTCTTTTCCTGGTTGGCCTACCAGGGGTTGAAAAGCTCAATAAATCACATGCTGGCGGGTGTCGTACATTGGTGGTTGTGACACATATTTTGAGTGACAGGGAGCTGCAGCAGAGGGGTGAAAGAGCCACATGTGGCTCCAGAGCCGCAGGTTGCTGATCCCTGACCTAGCACCTCAGCCCTTGAAAACACTGAGGAACCTTGGCTATGAAACATTGAGTTGGGTCAGCTGTATTGAGACGAATGAAAACTCCACTCAGGGCAGACTGTTTAATCTTGTTTAAGATATAGAATAATTAGCAACACAAAACCTATCCATAAAAAATAGTATTAAACATGCAACGTTCGCATTCAGGAAAGCAAAAATAAATGTGCAGGAAAAATGGAAAGTTTCATGCACTTCTAACCCGCATATGCCCACCCACCCACTCAAAGAACATTTTGGTATTTGTCCTAAAATGAATGAAAGTTGGGTTGTATATTTCATCAGGATCATTAACCCAAGCACATGACACTTTGCTTTTACAGTTGTTGTTTGTTTAAAAATAATGTCACAAATTATGTATAACCTCGAGTGGGGGGAAAAAGAGAGAGAGATCCTTTTATTGGTTAAATAAATAAACACACGCTTTTATAACAATCATGAAATGAGTTGCCTTCAACTAAATCCTTTAAAAAGACATTAGGAAAGCCTGCCCAGCTTTGATGGCTAGAGAATGGATCGGATTTGCTACCTGGGGTAATATGTACGTGCTAACAAATTATGTCCCACAAAGGCCAGTTCAGAAATGAATTATGGGATTCCTGTCAAGTTCACATTATTTCCTGGCACTGTTGCAAGTCTCTCAGATAGCTTCCAAGACCTTTTCTGACCTAAAAGTAGCTAATTGCTCCTGTTCTGTGGCACATGATTCATCATCCAGATGTCTAAGAACTTCCAGCTACTTCCTTAATAAAATCCCTACATTCACAGACGGAACAGTCTTTCCAACAGGATATCGTTTCTTTTTCCCACACCCCCGCACCCCTTTTATATATTTCAACCAAAGTAAGGGAGATGTCGTGAATCAGGGGCAACAAACACAGTTACTTGGCCTTTCAAACAAGTTTGCATGAGTCCAGTGTTTCCTCCTCCATCTCTTGGAGGATTCAAACCTGAAGCCAGGACAAATGCTGCACATTACAGTTTTATAGTCTTTGGGATATTTTATTCTACTCTCCACCCGTATCTGATTTTGTCTACAGATTGATGTGGAAACAAAACAAAAACAAAGCAGAGAGGAGTGCAATCCTCCATCTTGAAGATGGGGGACAGAGAATAATTAATGGAAATTCAGGGAAATTTTGCTTTAAATAGAACCCACCTCTGGTTCCTCCCTAAAGATGGAGGCAGGGAGTTTCATCTTCCTGCCAGAGAGATTGGTAAAGATGTGCAACATACAGCAGCATTAAAATGACTTATCAATGTTCAGTTTAAAGCTCTGTAATATATTTCATAATTGTTATTTTTCTGGTGAACTGAATGCATTTTCTGCAGTAATAATATGAGCATAACAAGCAATGTCAGGAAAACAGCCAAAGAGACGGAGTTTTCTTTCGCTCAATCTCCAAAAAGTATTTCCTCTTACTTAGTGTTGAAATGAAAGTAGCACTACTGGATTCAAGATTCAAGATCCATCTAGTTACCCACATTCACCCCTAAGTTAACCAACCAGATGTTTCCATATGTGCCCCCAGAAAGCCAAAAGTAACACTTTCCCCTAATATTTACCACCCAGGTACATACATACATACATACATACATACATACATACATACATACACACACACACATACATACATATATACATAGTGACATATTTAAATGTGTCTTTTAACATGAAGTTTCATTTAATTATTATAGCTCCTGAATAAACACAGTCAGGTTTATACTGTTATGCTGCTTTTACGATTACATTCAGATGCCTGACTAATATATACAAAAACTGCACATGCCTAATCATACACAGGGGAAACCACAGCCTTTCAAAATGCAGCCAGATTTCTTAATATAGCCTCTATTCAGCATAGCAACTAGCTGGGGAAAAAAAGTACGCAAATGCATTTTACAGACTAATGTTTATTCCAGTAACAAAGATCTGCAAAACTTAACAGTGGTTTGTAAATGACAGTTTTTCTATTAAATTTCCCTTGTTCCAGTCAATGAGTTAATTGTCTCTCCCTGGTGAATGCCTCAAATTAGCAACAGTAGCTTCTCTGTTACAGGTGCAGAATCTAAAAAGGGAAAAAGGAAGTCTCATTATACAAGTTTGGCCCTGGTTAGTACATGGATGGAAGAGAGTCTGTGAAATCCAGAGCTATAGGTTGGAAAGAGGCTCATTATGAGACTAGACTCAGTCCAGAACATCACAAACCACTTCCCGTCCTGGAGAGTTCATGGACAATTTATTTCTGGGAAGTTTAAGACCACCCTTTGGAATCAGCAGATCAGCTGAGTTGAGGAGAAAAGCAGAACTTCTGGAGTTCTCCAGAATATTTCATCTTTGGAATGGAAACGTTTTGCACATCTCTACTGACAAAAAAAAAAAACCCTACTGAAAATTCTGGTGCTGGAAAATTCATAAAACAGAAAGACAGTATAATTTATATATTAGAAAATTCAGGTTGGGGAAATTAAAGAATGAGCCCCAAATCCTACAATAACATTCTTCATGAAATGTGTGCAAAATTAGGCCACAAGTAATTGGAAACAAATGTCCTATTACCTTCCCCTATTGTCTCCCTTCTTTCCTATATTAAAAAATACTGTTTGAGACTAGCAAAACTCTACCATACAGCATGGTTGTCCAACTTTTGGCTTGCCTGGACCACGCTTAGTGAAGAATTGTCCTGGGACATATATAAAATATACAATATAGTTAATGTATATAAATAACAAACTTTCTTTGTTTGTTAATATTTTATATTATCTTGTGGGGTTGCATTATTAGCTGTCCAGGATTACATGCAACCCATGTGTTGGACATGCCTACCATAGAGTGGTAGAAGCTTAGAGTTGGACAGGGCCTTAAATGTCCTTTTTAAGACAAAACCCCTGAAAAGTTTGGATCGCACCTAAAATCTTTCATCCACCTGTTAGAAATTCTGTTTATATAAAGCACCACACACAGCAAAGAGTACAGTCACCATGTGCTTTACTGCTCAACTATGCAACTGTAACAGGAAACCCTACTCAGAACAAAAGAGCATAGAGTATATATCATAGATCCAAACTTGTAAATACTGCCATCTAGCTGAATACTACTATAGTTGTTGCATAGAAATGAATTTTAACATCACACTCTTTTTGAAGAACAGCAACAAAGAACTCACCACTTAATATGGCAGGTTTTCCACTGGCTGACAGCTTACATAGTCAGGAAGTTTCTTCTAACATCTGGCCTGAACTTACTTCCTTCTAGTTTTGACCCACCGGTTCTGGTTCTGCATTGTAGAGCAAGCAATAGAGAGTAAATCTGCTCCCTCTTCTATGTGAGAACTTTCAGATATTTAAATGCTGCTATTATTTCTCCTTTCAGCAATCTCTTAGTAAGCTAAATATGCCCAGATCTTTTAACTATTCCTCCCCATAAGGCTTTCTGTTTCTGTCACCATTTGGGTAACTCTTCTCTGAACTGGCTATAGTTCTTTCCAGGCTGTGCTACAGTCTTATTTAAAAATTAAAAAAATATTGGGGCACCCAGGATAAACTGCCTTAGTTTTTGTAGAGAACGAACCTGCATATCATTGGTAAGATTGCATTTAAAGGCCATTTTGATGAGGACATGATATTGGAATTGCTGAATAGACTGTGCACAAGAGTATAAGAAGATCAAAGGACAATTTGTGAAAATGGGGCTTCCCTAAGAAAGAAATATTGCATAAATATGGAAAAGAACAATCCATCTCACATATGCTATAGTGCGTACAAGGCATTCAATATATATGGAGGAAGGTCTTATGATGACAAGAGAAAATGCAATCAATATGGACCAGTATTGGACAAATCTCTTTTATTTGTTTCTTCATTTATTTAAGACCAATATAAGGAACTGTAAGCAGATGAGGCAAAAACCTGTGGCAATTTCCTCACCAGAGAGAACTGCAACATCACATTAGATTAGGTGTTTTCTTCGACCATTAATCCACCTAATGAGAAGGAAGGACTCACTGAAGAAGAGCCTAATGCTGGGAAAGATTGAGGGCAAAAGAAGAAGGGGACAACAGAGAATGAGGTGGCTGGGTGGAGTCACTGAAGCAATAGGTGTGAGCTTAAATGGACTCCAGAGGATGGTAGAGGACAGGAAGGCCTGGAGGAATGTTGTCCATAGGGTCATGATGGGTCGGACATGACTTCACAACTAACAACAACAACAAAGGCCATTAAGAGAACTATCTAATATCCGCTCACTCAGGAAGGTGGTGGGAAAGAAAAAAACCTAGAATTTAAACTCAGTCCAATATAAAGACTTTGGCTTCTGTGTACAGTAGTGTGCAGACCTTCTGTGCATATATGACTCTGTTCTTGTTTTTAAGTGACTAATCTTGCTGAGTCATTCCTGTGACTCTTCTGCCAAGTAAGCCAATTCCTGAATAAGCGGTTCATTGTCTACGGAGCTGAAATTCACCACCTTGCCTGAATTTGCTCTTTAGAGTGTCCAAATTCATTCACTTGAAGGGGGTGGGTTGTGTGGGTTCGGGGGATTACCCGCGAGGGGGGGATTAGACCCACTGAGGGTTGTGGGTGTGGGGGATGACCCACTGAGGAGGGGGCCTGGTCTGGCTGAGGAGCGCGGCATGGGAGGTGCGGGACTCGGGGTCAAGGAGGGGGTTAGAGCTTGTGCCGATGATGGGCATTACTTCAGTACTGTGGCTGGGAGGGGCAGATATGGCAGGAACAGGGGGCCATATCATGTTGTGGGAGTGCACGCTCGCCATCTTCGAGCGGTGGTGCGCTCTGACCCCCAATGCTCCTCTCGTTCCCTGGGTTGCACAGACCCTCAGGCCCTGGACCTTCGGCTGATGTTATGCAATGCCAGGTCCATGGTAAATAACCCCCCCCCTCATTTGCGATCTTGTTCAGGAGGGGGTAGCAGACCTGGTGGGTATCACGGAGATCTGGTTGGGCCAGGAGGGGGGGTCCCCCTCGTTGAAATGTGCCCACCCGGTTTTTGTTTGTTTTTTTTTGCTTTAATTTATATGCCGCTCTTCTCTGGAGACTCAGGGCGGCTTACAATGCATTAAGCAATAGCCTTTCATCCTTTTGTATATTTATACAAAGTCAGCTTATTGCCCCCACAATCTGGGTCCTCATTTTACCTACCTTTGAAAGGATGGAAGGCTGAGTCAACCTTGAGCCTGGTGAGATTTGAACTTGCAGTAATTGCAAGCAGCAGATGTTAATAACAGTGCTTTAGTCCACTGTACTACAGGCTCAAATGTTTTCATGCATTTCATCAGCCAAGGTCACAGGGGAGGGGCGGGGGTGTGGCAGTCATCATTAAAGAAGGTCTTGGTCCGAGGGAGGCCACTGTTCCTCAGACTGCCGGATGTGAGTCCCTCCTTGTGAAGTGGGGTCACGGGGTGCAGATGGGCTTGCTGATTACGTACCTGGCTCCCTGCCACATGGTGGCGGCCCTGCCTGAGCTGCTCAACATTATAGCCACAGTGGCGGTTGATACCCCCAGGCTTATGGTCATGGGGGATTTTAACCTGCCATCCGTCGGTGAGGCGTCTGAGGTGGCCCAGGAGTTCATGGCTTCCATGACAGCCATGGACCTGACCCAGTTAGTTCATGGCCCTACTCACATGGGGGGAAACACGCTGGACTTGGTTTTTGTCTCTGGTCAGTGGCTGAGTGATCTTGAGATAGGGGACATAGCTATTGAGCCCTTGTCATGGTCGGATCACTCCCTCCTTCGCTTTGACCTTCGAACCACCACACCCCGCCGCAGGGAGGTGGAACCGATGAGGTGGTTCCGCCCCAGGTGCCTGATGGATCCGGATAGGTTCCAGACAGAGCTTGGGCCATTCCCTGAGGCTCTGGCTCACGACTCGACTGAAAACCTAATGGCCGCCTGGGATAGGATGGCCGCTGGAGCTTTGGACCAGGTCATGCCTTTGCGGCCTCTAACCCAGTGCCGGTCTCACCTGGCTCCTTGGTTTACCGAGGAGCTGAGGAAGATGAAGCACCGGAAAAGATGCCTAGAGAGCAGTTGGAGGGCCAGCCTTTCTGAATCTGACCAAACACTGGTAAGGTCTCATATTAAGACCTACCTAGTGGCAATAAAAGCGGCAAAATGTAATTATTTTTCCGCTCTTATTGCATCATCAGATAATCGCCTGGCTGCCCTGTTTAGGGTGACCCGCTCCCTGTTCCACCAGGGAGCGCAGGAGGACCCCTTGGAGGGCAGGGCCAAGGACTTTGTGCAGTATCTGTATGACAAAATCACTCAGATTCGGGAAGACTTGGACTCTGACTGGGTAGATTCAGGAGGGATGATGGAGGCAGGCCTTGAGAATATTATCTGGGAAGAGTTTGATCCTGTGACTCCCAAAGACATGGAGAGGATACTGGCTAGACTGAGTGCAGCCACAGGTTTATTGGACCCGTGTCCCTCCTGGTTGGTGCTGGCTTCTCGGGAGGTTACATGAGGCTGGCTCCAGGGGATTATTAATGCTTCCTTGAGTGAGGGTGTCTTTCCCGCCGCCTTGAAAGAGGCGATGGTGAGGCCTCTCCTCAAGAAGCCTTCCCTGGACCCGGCAGTGTTAGCGAATTATCGTCCAGTCTCCAACCTTCGCTTTGTGGCAAAGGTTGTTGAGAGTGTGGTGGCACAACAGCTTCCCCAGTACCTGGATGAAATGGTTTATCTAGATCCGTTCCAGTCAGGCTTCAGGCCTGGGTACAGCACGGAAACGGCATTGGTCGCATTGGTTGATGATCTCTGGAGGGCTCGGGACAGGGGTTGTTCCTCTGTCCTGGTCCTATTAGACCTCTCAGTGGCTTTTGATACCATCAACCATGGTATCAAAAGCCGCATGGTATCATGCTGCACTGGTTGGAGGAGTTAGGGGTGGGGGGCACCGTGTTGCGATGGTTCTCCTCCTTTCTCTCTGACCGGTTGCAGTCTGTGTTGGCAGGGGGGCAGAAGTCGACCCCGAGGCGCCTTGTATGTGGGGTGCCACAGGGGTCGGTCCTCTCACCCGTTCTGTTCAACATTTATGTGAAGCCACTGGGTGAGATCATCCGTGGTTTCGGGGTGAAGTACCATCAGTACACTGATGATACTCAGCTGTACATCTCCACCCTGGACCACCCCAATGATGCCCTTGAAGTGATGTCCCGGTGCCTGGAGGCTGTGCGGATCTGAATGGGGAGAAACAGACTCAGGCTCAACCTATCCAAGACCGAGTGGTTGTGGTTTCGACGTCCCGATATAGTCAGTTGGTGCCATCACTGACTATTGGGGGCAAGTTGCTGGCCCCCACGCAGAGGGCTCGCAACTTGGGTGTCCTCCTGGATTCACAGCTGTCCTTAGAAGAGCATTTGATGGCTGTGGCCGGGAGGACTTTCTATCAGGTTCGCCTGATCTGCCAGTTGCGCCCCTTTCTGGATCGGGACTCCTTACGCACGGTCACTCATGCCCTTGTCACTTCCCGCCTGGACTACTGTAATGCTCTCTACATGGGGCTCCCCTTGAGGAGCACCCAGAGGCTCCAACCGGTCCAGAATGCAGCTGTGCGGGTGGTTATGGGAACGACGTGGCATTCCCATGTAACACCTCTCCTGCACGAGCTGCACTGGCTCCCGGTGGTCTTCCGGGTGCACTTCAAGGTTTTGGTTACCACCTTTAGAGCGCTCCATGGCTTAGGACCGGGGTACTTACGAGACCGCCTTCTGTCACCAGTAGCCTCTCACTGGCCAGTACGCTCCCATAGAGAGGGGCTCCTCAGGGTACCGTCAGTCAAACAGTGTTGACTGGCGGCCCCCAGGGGGAGAGCCTTCTCTGTGGGGGCACCTGCCATTTGGAATGAGTTCCCCCCGGAGATAAGGAGGATCCCGGATTTGCGCCCTCAAGACCTTCTTATTTCAACAGGCTGGCCTGGCCTAACCTCCTTTTAACTGTTAATTTTAAATTTGTTTTAAAATTATAGGGGTGTAATTAAATAATTTGGCCCAAACAAATTCATCTTTTATTCATCAATTTATTCATCAATTATATTGTTTTTAAAGTTTGTATTATGTGTATTTTATCTTTTGGCTGTTCACCGCCTGGAGTCCTTCGGGAGTAGGGCGGTATATAAATCCAATTATAAAATAAAAAAATAAAATATAAAATAAAATACTTGGATTTCTAAGCTGGTGTGGATACATCTAACATATATTGCAACAGCTCCTCACTTTTTATTGCTTCTGTTCCTTTTGACATACTGTTCTTATATTCCAGCTGCGGGAATTGTCTCGCCATATTTCCATTATACCTTTTAGATAGGGGTGGTACTCACTTACCTTTGCTACCGGTTCGCAAATGTGAGCGTGTATGCATGCACAAGTCCTTCCACGCATGCGCAGAGCATCAAAAACAGGATGTGATGATGTTCGGGTGGGTGGGTGGAGCCTCCCGCAGCCACCGCTACCGGTCTTCCCGAACCGGATAGAACTGGCTGAATACCACCATTGCTTTTAGATATATTTGACTTCCGGTGCTATCATTAAAGTCCAATTTTGTTTACTTCCCATTCATTAGTATGGAAACAATGAAGTTTATCTCCACATTCCTTTGCATCTAATATATTCAATCATTCATATCCAGCGATTGATAAATTGTACTATTCTTCTTTCTCTTTCAGATTCTTTTCTGTGGATAGGAAAGATCTTTGAGACCTAATTCCAGACATAGCAATCTTAGCATTGCAGAAACTCAACCCTGCATTCAGTAAGTAGGTAACAGCAGATGCTTCCCAGACTTGATAACAACTGAATCATTTGTTTTGTTATAGAAAATCTATCATAGGGTCAAATCCTAGATCATTTCTTTCTGCTATTTCAGCCAATAGACTTTAGGCCATTCTTTTTCTGATCTCCAATGTCAGAGGAATGCCTTCCATATTTATATAAAAATTCTGTCCGATTTCAGAATCATTAGTTTTTGCCTCAAGACTTAATCCCAGTCTGGTGGACTTATTTTCTCAGTTTTTAAGTCTGGAATAATACATTATGCCAGTAGTTGGTTATGAAGGATTAGTAGAAGGAATATCATGGATCTGCAGGAAGAGGGAGAAGCAAAAAGATGAATCAAGAAATATACATTGTCAAAGAATGCAGTCAGAATCGGGAGAAGAATTCAAACGCTCCACTTCTGGGGTCATTTTTTTAAATGTAAATTTTATTGATTTTTTTTAAAGAGAGTAAAAATTAATCCAATCTAAAGTAAAATAAGAACAAAAATACAGGAAAAGGAAGAAAAATAAAACTAAAGTGCAAAAACAAGAAGCAAAATAAAAAGGTAGAAGAAAGATAGAAAAGAAAGAAGATATGGAGAAGCAGCTTCTGATAATATAAATGTTATAAATACAATTACAAATTTACCCTTTTCTTTAATGTTCCATCATGATTCTCTTCTTTCTATCCATCCTGTCTAATTGTCAATACCATAAATCATAAACTCATTGGTTTTTCTCTTTTACACAAAAAAGTCCATAATGGGTTTCCAACAGTGGTGGGATTAATTTTTTTTATTATTATTGAAAAAGTTTTTCAAATACAAATTTTTCCCCCTTCCCCCCCCCGCTCCCTAATCCCCCTCCCTCTCCCCTCCCCCCATGGCTTCTACAAGATGAAATCCAAATTAATACCACATTATATAATACTTTACCATCCTTTTACACCACCCCCTATGTGCTTAGCATTTCTTTCTAACATTATTATTATGTCCCCCATATACTATACATTTCAAAACAGCATTTGACTATAAAACTATATAATAAATCCTAATTTGGCATTTATTCTGCTCACAATCTACCCATTTCCTCCACCCCCATACATATATCTCTTAATTCAAATCTTTTAAGTATATTAATATCTAAACATAACATCCCTTTTCCTAAACTAAGCAATCAGTAACGTTACCTATCACCTTATACCATATCAATTTTATTTCACCCACTTTCCTACAGGTCTACCATACATAATATATTTAATATCTTTATTCTTCTGCTCATATCACTAAAAGATATTTCCATATATAAGTAAAATCCTCATATGACTTTAAATTTGTATTCCATACAGTATCTTCTGTAATGTCTTTCAACTAGATTGTTAATTCCATCGACCATGTTAGGGTAACATCAAGTCCTGCTTCCAACAGTATTTTCAGTATCTTCAATTACCATCTGCCCCCATCATTAATAAGTATTTCTGTATATAAAACCACCACCACCCCGAGTGACTTTATATTTATATTCCATATGGTATCTTCTGTGATGTCTTTTGTCTAGATTATTAATTCCGACAATCACGTTAGGGTAACAGCCAGATCATCTGCATGCCCCAATTCCATAGTTCTTTTGCCTTATAGCTCAACATATACGTAATCCATTTTTCAGAGAGTCCAAAATAGAAAGTTCCAATCTGCTCAATCACAGGCCATCTTCCACATCCTAAAAACACCAGCACTGCAGAGATCTGTTATTCTTCTCAAAATAGTATAAGTCTGTAATTTGCCTCAACTGTATTTTCATATATCAGCCTTCTATAAATCCCGCTTATTTTATTTAATCGTCTCTTAAATAACTGGCATTAGTCTGTTGGCTAAAAAAAAAAAATGTAGTTTAAAATTTTTTAGTTTTGTAGAACCTGCTTCTTCTTTTCTTAACTTGTTGTGGTTTAGGTCTCCACCCTGGTTGCCTTTCTAGGACTTGTATGTCAGCTGATTGAATTACATGCTGGTCTTTAACTTGATAAGACATCAAATCGAGATCCAAAGCCGCCTCTCTATTTATAGGTAATCCAGCTATAGCCTCTGAAGGAGAATCCAAAAGCGGCTCATCCAAAAAGCCTTCTATAACTTGTCGTTTTTCCATTACCTCCATCTCCATCTGCTTGGCCTGAGTTTCAATCTTTTGTTCATTTTGCTTATCTTTATCCCCCTCCTGTATTCCTGACACTGATGACATACGTGGAGATGTTGGGCCCATTTTAAAAACCTTGTAGTAAAATTCTTCCGCTTTTTCAACAGTGTTTAATTGATATCTTTCTCCTTGATATCTCAATATTATACCAACTGGAGCATCCCACCTAAATGGGATGTTTTGTTTCTTTAGCTCAGTCACCAAAAATCCAAAGTCCTTTCTATTTTTTAACATCTTGGACAGCAGCTCTTTATATATCCAAATCTTCATTCCATTCATTTCTAGCGTGGAGTTGAAAGACTTTTGCACAATATCATTTCTTATTCCTTTATCAGTAAAATAAATCACCACATCTCTAGGCAATTGTCTTTACTTTGCCACCCAAGAATTTACTCTGTAGGCCTTATCAATCTTACAGAGTACTTCTTCAACGCTGACCTTTAAGATCACAGCCAGAACTTCAGCAGACATCTTTCTCAAGTCTCTGTTATTTTCCTGTATTCCTCTCATTCTGATTGCAAATTCCATGGGTCTAAATTGCATCATTGTAACTTCATTTTCAATCCTTTGCTTTATATTATCTGCATTGTAAGTCTTGTGATCAGTTTCCTTCATTTTAGACTCTACTTCTGAGCTATTTTCTTGAATCATTGTCAAATCATTTTCAATTCTTTGTATTTTATTATCCAGATTATGAATCTTGTGATCAGCTTCCTTCATTTTAGACTCTATTTCTAAATTGATATCTTTATCCATCTTTAGAATTATTTCTGAGAAACTTTTCAAAGCTGTTACAATATATCGCTTCAGGTTATCATACTTTTGTTGAACCAACTCTTTAATTTCCTGTCTAAATTTTTCAAGATTCTGATTCATAATCTCATCATGTCTTGCCATCTCCTCCACAACAAATTCCTTTAAATCTTTCTGCATCTGCGAGCTCAAAAATTGCTCTTGTGATTTATAAATGGGGGAGCCCCCCCCCCCACAGCTTGGTTGTCTGGCTTTGTCAGTTTTAACGCCATCCTGCCACACAAACAGACTCTTTTTAAAGCAAAAGTCTTCTCTCCACACAATATCAATATCAAGTCTCTAGGAAAGGAAGAAGCATAAAACAGAATTTTTTTTCCTTCTCTTGTAGCCAGCGCTATTGCTAGATACTTTGTAACATATTAAGACATTCAAAGAGAAAGACTTTCGCTTTCAGCTTTCTTCTCAAGCCTCAGCCAGCCGCCATTTTAAACTTTTTTTTCCCCTTTTCACTCTTTCTTCATTCTTAAAATCAATCATAGGGTTGTTACAAATACTTGCGATTTAGAGTCCCAAATCCGGATTTCATCCTGCTTATTCAATCAATCTGTTAGTTTTCGCTGATTAGGTTGGTCACATCGTCTAGCTCTGCAAAGCGCAGAGTTCTCCCGCAGCCCGGAGCAGCGGCGAGCTGGATAGGGAGCATCATCCTGCTTCCTCCCCAAGAGTAAAAAAAAACTCTAGGGGGACTTCGCAGAGGGCTCTACCTGCTCTCGCCGGCTCACCTCACATTTCCTTAAGGAAACAGAGTTTTTCGAGCCGCCTCCCAGCTGTAAGGGCGGCTCTTTATGGGCGGCGGGGGTGGCGGTCCCAAAAGACCGTCTAGCGATGACGGAAGCCAAACCGGAAGCCTCCGGGATTAAATTTTTTTTACTACTGGTACTGTGGATGTGACTGGTAGGCGTGGCAGGGGAAGGATACTGTAAAATCTCCATTCCTTCCTCATTCCAGGGAAAGGACACTGCAAAATCCCCATTTCCTCCTGATCAGCTGGGACTCTGGAGGCAGAGAATAGATGGGGCAGTCAGAGGTGGTATTTACCAGTTCTCCGAACTACTCAAAATTTCCGCTACCAGTTCTCCAGAACTGGTCAGAACCTGGTGAATACCACCTCTGGTTTCCAGTCAGCATAAATGTAGATATTCTTTTCAGACTTCTAGACTCATCAGAGTCTTTAGAAGTTTCCAATTCTAAACCAAGGACAGGTGTGAAAGTGGATTTAAAAATGACAATCTAGAAGACATGGAAAAAGATGCTATACTGGGCTTGCAAAACAAACTGATTGATGTCTTAACAATAAAAGAGATTTTTCAAATAAACCAAGAGAGTGACCTGGATAAGTTTCCAATATTGGATTGATAGGATGTTTGTTAAAGCTTTGAAGAATTTTGGGAAAGATAAAAAGCCAAGTTGTAGGACATGTTAAATGTAAATGGAAAGAATACAAAGATTAAAATACATATGTGGTTGTCTCTGCTAACTCTTAATGGATTTTCACTGCTCAATAAGAGATGGGATATGGGAAGCAGTGATGGGATTCTCCGGATCACATAAACCGGTAGCGATGACTGCGGGAGGCTCCACCCACCCACCCAGACGTAATGTGTGACTACTGCGCATGTGCCGCGCATGTGCCGCGCATGCTCACATTTGCGAACCGGTAGGGAAGGCATGTGAATCCACCTCTGATGGGAAGAAGAAATTACTGTATTTTAAGAGAAGGTAATGTTACTAAAATTGCTTATATTATTGTAATGAAGGGGGAAGTAGTTTCTTTATATATTTATTCTTTCATTCTCTTCTTTTCTATTTCCTTTTTCTTTTCTGCACCTTCTGTGTATTTCTTTTTCTTTTTAGTGCCATAGTTGAAATTCATAACAAAATTACTATTAAAAAGAATTATAGGGATGCTATATTTCCTAATAAATGTTTCCACTTTAAACATTATTTTGGCACTTTCTTTTGGGGTTTTCAGTCCTCTTTAATGTTGCCACCTAATTTTGAGATATCCAATTTGCAGCTAATAATGAGTCTTAAATATCAGCACTAATACACAGGTAGCAGCAGGCAAAACAGTTAAAGTAAAATCTCTTCTTTGTGTGAAAAGTTTTTGAGACTTTGAGTTGGTAGCAGGGGT